CCCCCCATAAATAAATTTTTAACAACAACAAAAAAAGGAACTTCTTGACACATTACCAACGATAAAAACTTCAGTTGTCTGTTGTCTTTAATTAACATCTAAATAGATAACATATTCCTCTATAATTATAATACGGAAATATCTATGAACAAAATAGATACATTTTTGGCAAATTCCTTGGAAAGCATGGCGTCAGTCAAGTTCATCCAAGGTTTTAAGCAGCAGCATCTATACAGCAGATGTGGTCAGTGCTTGGGGACAGAGGTAAAGATCCGTAATCCGTGCATCCCTTTGATTTCTTCCTTTAGTGCCTAAGTAAGTAAAAGAGAATCACTGTTTATTTTGTGTTTAACACTGGTTATTTTAAACCTCTATGAGAGTATTTTTTATATAGCTCTTAGGAGACTTTGTACAATATGTTGTTTAAGCAGTTTTTCCTTTTCTGGAAAACAATTTTTATTTTTTTGAATCAGTATGTAACAAAGCTCAAAAATCTGAAGGTAGAAAATGGAATGTGGTGAAGTCTCCCTCTCAGCCCTCAGTCTGTCCTCCACCCCACAATTTCCACCTCCATCCTCAAAGAGAGCTGTTAGTTTTTGTACATCTTTGCAAGGAACTAAAAATGCACATTCAAACTAATACAAATATGTGTTCCACCCACAACCTTTTAGAAACACAAACACACTGCCCTACACATGTGTGTCCCATCCCCACCCCCATCCCAGACAACCAGGGGTCTTTCCGTGTCAGACATAGAGAGCAATCTCCTTCTTGTTTGCATCAGCACAGCATTCCACCACAGGGATCATTCATCACTTTTCAGTCTCTCCCTTAATGAGAAATTTTTAATCTGCTTCTTGTATTTTGCTATTTTAAGGAATGAACGGCTGTTCTTTGAAATCATACTAATTAGCACAAATTCCTCAACTGTATCTTTGGGGAATCAGGAAATAAAGCTGCCACTGAGATTAGTGTAAGTCTATGAATGATGTCAGGACCTAAAAGTGAGTAAGTCACCACAGTCAAATCTGTACCAGCATCTGCAGTACCAGGAGAGAAACTACAGGACCCAAAGGTGCTTGGGCCACGCAATTTTATAAATAGTACAGAGAGAGAGACAAAGTCCTTTTATAAGAGGCCCAAAACTGCTGTCCGGGATAGACATTTTCTCCCCTGTATGTCCAGCAATCTCTCGTCTCGCGAGGACTAGTTCTTTTCACTTGTATTCTGCTGCGGGGTTACCACGAGGCTGCTACTGCTACCGTAGCTCTGTGCAGCTGGTCCACCCTGGCACATGACTCAAGAATCTCCCCTGAAACTTTTCAGTGTGGAGACTTATTTATGGGTTATTATACTGCAGTAATGTTAGTTGGGGCACTGGGAGCCATATTCCCCACCTAAAAAGAAAGCCATTTCTAGTAGGAGAAAATGAAGCCAACATACAGAGAGAAAACAAAAGCTAGAGAGTAAGGGAAAATACGTGAGAGAATAAGCAGAATGAATTGTTTTAGGACCCTGAAGCTAAATATGCCAGAAGTCAGGTATTTCATTACACAGGACAATTCATTTTCTGTTTGCTTATGTTGATTTTAACTTGGTCTCAAAATTGTAAGAATCCTAACACATGTTGCAGGGTTAACAGAGTTAGGAGAATCTTTAGGAACAATCTAGTCCTCCCCCTTGTCTGAGGAAAAAGAAACCATCTCATCCCTTGTCCAGTGTCAGTAAATGGTGAATAGCAGCAAGGACCTATGTCCAGGCCTTGCCTGGTGTCACTCAGCTTCCTGTTCCGCCTGATAGTGGAACTGCTGTTGTCTGGGGGCAATAAGCCCATCCCCAAATTCACAGATGAGTCCCTCAAATCTGCAGACTAGTACAAACGCCCCCTGGAGAAGCTTCATGTCATCTCTGGGAAGGACGCAGTCCCTTGAGCCAAGTGCTCTCTGCTTTGCTATCCTAAAGCCTCTGTGGCTACACCTCCCCATGAAGGCCTCGGACAGAGCGCTTTTCTGGACCTTGCCCCTCAAGCCCCGTGCACTTGACCTTCCCAGTGCCTTCTTGCAGTTCTCTCTGGGTCTCCAATACAGTATCTCACAGCTATGCAGACCTTAGAAATCCCCTACAGTTGAAACTGTAGATCCAAATAGTAGGGAAGTGACCTGGCTAAAAATCCCAGTTTATAAGATATAGCTTACATGAACATTTCTCAGCACCTGCCATGCCTATAGCATTCAGATGGGCGTGGGAAACACAAATGAAAAAAGCACAGGGAAATGATGAAAAAGATAAGTAACACACACCAGAAACAGACTGAGCTCAGAGAGCAGTGGGCTGTCGGGCCATGGGCCAGTCCCATGCTACTGCAGTGGGGTGGCAGGACAGGTGGGCATGGAACAGGCAGAGGGCCAGAGCACGGGCTTCTGGTCCAGAAAAGCAAGATAAGGAAAGTTCCTACCACAAGCCACACAAAAAACCTGACCCAGAGTCAGGTACATTTAGGGGCAACTGAGGCAGGTCACACCGAGGCTAGGCAGGTGGGACTAGATTCCATGGCGACCAGATATCTACCGAAAGGCTCTGTGCAGGAGAGATCTGGGCAAAGACACCCTCAGAGGAGGGTGATGGGTGACAGAAAAGGAAAGAGGCCAAAGAAGGGAGAAGGGAAACCACCATTTACCAAACACCTTCCACATGTGAAGCTGGGCAGGAAGCTGGGCTCAGGTGGTGACTATCTCATGTGATCTTTGCCAACAAGAAAACTGGGGCTCAGATCCCACTGTGAAGCAGAGCGCCAAAATGGGAGCAGCCTTGTCTAACTCATGAGAGAAATGGATGATCTCTCTCCTCTCTGTGTCCCTTCTTTTAGCACAGGAACAGGATGGGGGTGCGGGGATCCTGGGAGAAAAGGAAAATGTCACATCCTGGCCTAACCCAAAGCAAGTGACTGGGCTATTTCTAAGGTGGAGTAATAGAGACCGACCCTCCCAGATGGGATAAATTCATTGCTGATTTGGGCAGATGAAAAGAGAATTTTGGAGCCTTCGGTAGCTCTAATATGCCTTAAATGCTGAATTAGGGGACTGAACAGACTAGCAGCCAGGGAGGCAGCAACTGAGCGCCTCACGAACTTCCCCTTTTAGCCCCATTTGTCTTTTCTCTGCAGTGCTCGCCATGATCTCTGCCCGGGTGTCCGTAATCATAGGTGCACGTGCCCCGTGCTCACACTTCTAAGTGCCTTTTGCAATAACGCATCATCACATGCAGGCAATGAAGCCTGGGAGGAAAGCAAGGCCGCAGGCGGCAGCCTTAGTGGCTAGCGGCGGGAAGGCGGGAGAGACGAGCGACTCCATTTCCCTTACAAGCAGACACAACCAGCAGCGTCCCAGAGGAACCAGGAATTTACCCCTGAGAATGGAATAGTGTGACTCGTGAGAGTTGGGGTGACCCATCCCTGGGGAGTGAGGCAGGGACTGTCTGAGGAGCTGGGGCCGAGGGGGTGGATTCAGCATCAGATGAGACCTTTACAGGGGCTTTTGGGCCTGAAAGTCTCAATCCTATGGGAGTAGGCAAGACCAGTAAGGAAGGCTTCACCCAGGCCGAGGCTCAGCAGTCCTCCCACCTGGCCTGCATCCAGTGTAGCTGGACAGGCACAGCCCCCCACCACTTTCACCTGGTTCCCCAAGAAACCATATACTCAGTAACTAGGTTGCTGAGACCAGATCCCGGGAGCAGAGTGTGATCACCTCTGCTGCCCCTGCTCCTCTTTCAGATCTGCCTCTTCCTATGTGGGCACTGCAGCCTTGGCTGCCAGCACTTCCAGACAGACAACCAACTCTTAAGTTCTGACTCAGATCGCTGCAGGCCAACACATTTGCTTTTTTTTTTTAAAAAAAAAAAAAAAAGATTTATTTATTCATACAGAACTGGGGTACAGGCCAGAGATGTGGAGGGTGAGAGGATTCACAAGAGACAGAGTGAGGAACAGAACAGGCAGAGCGACAAAGTACAAAGTACACTGCTGAGGGGAGCAGCGGGCGGGTCAGAGAGGTCTGACCTCGCCATGTGGATCTCCTCCGGGGCAGGAGGGAATCGAACTCATGCGGAAGTGGCTTTAGCTTCTCAGTGCTGTGCTTTAATCCACTGCGCCACCAGGGAGGGGAGGGCCCCCAACACATTTGCTTTTAAACGCCTTTTCACATTGCTCCTCCCACATCACTCTAAAGCCACTGTCCACAGGTGTGATCATGTGAAAATACTCACAAGCTTATCAGCCCAGGACAGCTTGCTGTGGCCAGCGAGGGCCTCTGCTCGAGTCAAAGTTTGAGCTCTGGGAATGCCCTTCCTTCACTGGCAACACCAACCCAGGCTGGCTACTGCACTGCACCCCCTATTCTGTGAAAAGCTACGTTCAGGGGGCAAAATGGTAACCTGGTTAAAAGTACAGTGCTCCCTTCTTATCCACTGGGGATATATCCCAAGACCCCCCTGGGAATGCCTCAGACCATAGAGAGCACAAAGTCTTACATACACTGTTTTTCCTATATACACAGACCTGTGGTAAAGTTTAACTTATAAACTAGGACAACAAACTAAAAGTGGAGCTTCCATCTGATCCAGCAATTCCACTCCTAAGAAATATTAATTCCAAAAGGCACCTGCACCTCTGTTTATTGCAACACTATTTACAATAGGTAAGCTGTGGAAGCAACCCAAATGCCCCAACATAGATGACTGGATCAAGAAGATGTGGTATATTTACACAATGGAACATTACTCAGCAATCAAAACAGATAAACTCATGCCCTTCGCAGCAACATGAATGGAGCTGGAAGGGATCGTGCTCAGTGAAAAAGCCAGAAGGAAGAAAAAAAATGTTGAATGGTCTCATTTATAGGAGGAATGTAGAGAAACCAAATTAGGAATCAGAAAAAAAAAAAGTAACTATAATAAAGTAAAAATCAAAATCATCAAGCAACTATAGATCAGAGACATTCTGTAGCGGACAAGGAGGGAGGATCAGGACAGGGGTGGGAAGAGCACAGGGGACTGTGGTGAACTGCTGGTGGGAATTTCACAGGGAAATCACTTTGTACAAAAATGAAGGATGATGTAATCAATATATTTTTAAAAATATTTTAACTAGGCACAGTAAAAGACACTCAATAATAACTAATAAAATAAAACAACTGTAACAATCTACTCTGATAAATCATGTGAATGTCGTTTCTCTTTCTCAAAATATCTTAGTCACAATATTTGACTGCAGGTAACTGCAACAGCAAAAGCTAAAACAGGATAAGGAGGGACCCAAATGCCAGGAGATAAACTCTGAAACAGAAAGCCTTTTAGTCACTGAACACTACATTTCTCTGGGAGCCATACCAGGCCAGTTCTCTTTCCTGCCTGCAAACCCAACCAGTGCTGACCACTCTTGTCCACACCAGGTCCTTTGCTAGGTGTGGGACACAGCAGTGAGCGACGCGGACACAGCAGTGAGCGACGCAGACTCAGGGCGGGCCTGTATGGAAGGGGTGTCCTGGGGAAACAGCAGACAAGGGAGGGGGTTCTCCTGCTGCCACAATCTCGGGAAGCCCACGTTCAGAGGAAACTGTGAGCCCAAGACAAATCAGGTGATATAGCCCCACACCCAGAGAGTTGCTGGCTCCCCCGGATATGGCAGTCTGCCCAGTGTCACAGATGACAGTGTGGCAAGTGACACCGACTGAGGGCCCATGACGTGTGGAACACTGTCCTCGGTGCTCTCCATGCCCTTTATCACAAATCCTTTGATGCAAGTATTACCACTCTTCGCATCTTATAGATGAGAAACCAAAGCACAGGAAAGTTTGGTAAGTCACTCAAGGTCACACACCTAGAAAGTGGCAGGGCCAAGATATGAAATGTGGGCAATTCAACTCCAGAACCTACAGCTACAACCACTTAACCATGGCTTTAGGCCAGGGAATGCATTCAAATTAACTGCTTATACTGGGCACTGCTCAGTTTTGGAGACAATACTTAAAGTACTTCCAGCTGGGAATAATCTGGACCAGTTAGGGCTTCTCTGTCTTGTCTTCCATCTTGGTGCCAATTCCTCAGATCAGGTGAGCCCAGAAGTGTTTCTGGGGGTTCCTGGTCTACCACAGACTGCCAGATGAGACCACATTCAAATGAAGGGCCAGGCTACATGAAGAACCAAAGATGAGTCCACAAAGGGCCGACAGGACCAAGGGACAGACGGATGTCACATCAGTATCCAGGACATGAGGCAGAAAACACTGGAGTCGGAGGGTGGACAGCTTTCCTTCCCTGCCAGGCAGGTTGGGGAGGCAGCATTTGAGCAGACTGGGGAGTCCTGGGGGCAGTGCTGGGAGGCGATCTCACCTGGGCAGAGCTCCCACTTGGATAAGGGCCAAGATGCACAAAGACCAGTGAGCAGGGACTGTGGAAAGCATGAGTGGAGAAGGCCTCAGACAGCAGAAAACCTGAACTTGATGTCACAGAGAGAGTCTAGAGACCAGAGCTGTGCGTCACAAAAGTTAAACTAGTTACAAAAGTGAGACTAGGTCATGACCTAGACTAACACCAAGCAGAAGGGGGCAGCTTATAGACACAAACTCACGCATGGGTCAAGGCTAGTGGAAATTCCAAATAAAATAAGCATGGATAATAAATAAGCCCTCATCTGGCTAAATCTGAAGTTCCACACCCTGATGTTCTGTCACTGGGCTGGGGCAGCAGGAGAAATCCTCAGCCTCAACGTACCCAACTTTAGGACAGTCCTAACGAGAGACCAAAAAAATCTTCACATCTATAAAAACATACCGTTTAGTACATATCTTAATAAATACTACACAGTGTGCAGCAATAAGAATAAACATTACAGCATTATACAAGCAAATCAAAATAACAATTGGATGGCTTGTTTCCATTTTGAACGAGAGCCTAGTTCCTTCAATCTGATTACAAAGAGCTCTAGGTTCTATTCTTCTCCGGTGGAGTCTTGCTCATGTGGCTGTGGTTTTGCATCACACTCCTGAGACTGCCAGTGAAGTACCAGCCCTCTCGGCAGGCTTTTCGGAAGCTGGCCAGTGACAGGGGAGCGCTGTGCCTCTACTGACCTGATTTACCATCTGGTGCTGCTGGACAGTTCTCTTCTCCTTAAATTCTTCTGACTCGATTTGGATTTCATACATCGCCCCACAGCCTCCTGAAATAAACAAGATTTGAAAGTGTTAAAGTGTTCATATATTCCGTATGGCAGCCACAGCCCCCAAGTGTCCCTGAAACACGGCACAACCCTATAAAGGTCTGAGTGCTGACAGTCAAAAGGAAAGTTGCCCCGTCGATTACAATCTGGCCACATAGCCCTCCTGGCAGGCTGCCTTACTCCAGTGTGCTTGTCCTTTGCAAGATGGCTGCACTGCCCAGGATTATGACTTGTGGGGAAGATAATACATGAAGCTTGGAAAACCTGGGAAATATACTAGGTTTTCCTAGTGTTTCCTTTTACTAGACCAACAAATGCTAGGGGTGGGGTGAGGGGACTGAATTTTTGTCTTCACCTTCTAAAGGACCAGCAACTAGAATGGTAAAAAGTGTAACAACACACTAAAAATTGGCTTGAAAACTGTGTGCAACACTACCCAGAAGAAGGGGACAAGCAGCGTGAGAGAGGCGGGGACACAGCATTAAGGAGAAGCGAGGTGCAGGCCGTCCCTGGGCTGAGTGGTGCTCTCTATGCTTCCTGCTCCGGTGTTGCGTCCTGCACTGCGCAAGGAGGCCGGCTTCTGGTGAAGCTCTCTAGGCAAACTGGTGGCAGGCCCTCCCAGCCCACCCAGGCTTTCTCCGCTTGACTGAAGAGCTGGTGCTGAGGGCTGATGGAAGCACAGTACACAGGGATAGAACAATGTGGCCAAGAGAGGAAATGGCGCCAGGCCATTGTATGAGAAGTGCAAAGTACCATAGATTTTGCTTTGCTTCTCCCATGTACTTTAGGAGCCCAAACCTGTATTCAATCAAGGTTCCAGGCCCCAGTTCCCTTTCTGCATTCCATCCAGGGCAGGGCAGACCCAGGCCAGCGGTCAAGTTCCAGTTCTGTCCTACCTGGGTCTGGGCAGTTACAGGACTTGTGATAGTGAGGCCTCAGCACTGTCTGGGACCTTGCAGGTGCTCACCAACTCACCATCCCACAGCTCTTTAGATGGATTAATCCCACAGTCCAGAGAAAAAAATTATTTTCTAACCTCTCTCCTAACCCTTGTAAATATGACGTTCTCAGAGAAGCCTCCTGCAATACTGAGTGGCACACTGCATCTGGGTGGGGGGGAGAGGCAGGTCAACGCTTATCTCAATTGCCACCCTGGCTAAACTGCCCCTAAGTAGCTTTGGACAGAGGCCCTATCTCTCCCATCCTGTGCTGCTTTAGCTGATTCCCCTGCCAGCTCCTAACACACCCAGATAATCTGAAGTTCCAGGGTGCCAGTGGCCATCAGAGCAAGTCAGGACCTGGTGACCGGGTTCAGGACAGTATTTGTCCTGGTTCTGGTTTCAGTTCTGCTGCCTCCCTCTGTGAGAACCTGAGTAGGTTCTATGGCCTCTCTGGGCTTGTCTCCTCACAGCCATTACACTGCCTCCTCCCTAGGAGGGTGGCCTCTCTGGCCTCTTTATTCAAAAAAATAAAGTCTTCCTGCAGTCTGTTCCATCTCTGAAGCTCTAGGGTAACAGGAGAATGGGGGGAAATTGGAGTAAGGCCCAGCTCATAGTCAAAGACTGTCAAACTGAGTCCCAGTTGACCTAAAGCAACCTCATCCAAGCTTGGCCCAGCTGGTGAACATGAGTCCTCCCAGCTGGGCCTTATTCCCACAGTTCCCCTTCCCTGTTTGCACAACCTCCACCTCCCCGTGATAGGGTGGGAGAGGCTGAGTCCATCTACCCAGGGCCATACATTGAGAAGCCACTGATGGCCATTTCTTCCATCAAGGCCCTTGCCGTCTGCCCCCACCCAAAGGGTGAAATTCTACCAAATTCTGTGGGAAAGATGAGAGAAAACCTTACCTGAAATGTCAGTGACTTTGATAGCTGTAGCTTGAGGAAATTTTTCTTTAAGAACCTGGGTCACTCTGAGCTCCCCCTCAGTCTGTGAGGCAAACATCCGCTGAACACAGTGGAGAAGAGGAGGCTGTCACAGAACAGAGAGGAGTCATACAGGGCACGATGACACTGCCTCCAGGCCGAGCTGGGAAACTGTGCAGGCCCTACCTGCTCTTGCCCTGCAAGCCTGACTCTAGGCACTTACCATGAGTGACTAGTCAGAGAGGTAGTGTGGAGTCAGGTGTCCATTTTAGTTCTCCAAGATGCAGAATAAGCTTTTTTGGGGGGATGGTAGGGGTGCTGGGGAGGACAGTCATAAATAAGTTATTTTGACTCTACAGACACAAGGCCCACCTTATTTACTAGATGTTTAACATCCATGATACTGCTGAGAGACACTATCAGTAAGAGTTGTACAGGTGAAGAAAGTAGTACACTACATACTATGCCTAAGCTTGCATCTGGTACTAAGATGCCGAGTCTGGAGAGCCAGGCAGCCTGCCTCAGATGTGCCTTGGTAAGCCAGCATGTCACTGACCAGTGGGGCAAAATTCCACCCACTCCTTAGGCTTGACAAACAGTACATGTTATCTCCACTAGTATATGACCATGTAACCTACTGCTCAGTAAGCCAGCTACCCTTTGCCGTATGCTCTGGAGAGAGGAAGCAGAATTCTATTAAATAACCTGAAAGAGGAACATTTTTAGATTACTTACCAATGGCAATATTCTCTCCAACCCCAAATGGCTAATAAGGGGCCATTAACCTTAGTGGTAAAGAGCAGAAAACTAGGTCATTAGCCTCCTGACTAGGTTAAGTACACTCTGCAAAGAAGACTGAAAATAAAAGCACACCAGTCCTTGAATGTCAGGTTAAGGAATTTGGACTATGTTAGCTAGGCCTCTTGGTGCCAACCTGCATGAAAATGGTGCCTTCTGACGCCAGTCAGGAAAGATGCCCAGATAAGAGGCATTACAAAGGAAGTAACACCAGGCGCTGGTCCCCAGTTGGAGGATGGTGGGTGGGAGGACATCAGGACTGCTATTCAGCGCTGGTGCCAAAGTTTCCACCTCTTCACCCCTCCGTTCTGCCCATCCTCAGGCCTTTCCCGAGGGGCCAGGCAGGTCCTGGGTTATAGACTCTTGGGCACCCTTCAAAAATAACCTGTGCGGTAGCTCTTTCCACAGCTGGTCTCAAAGGCCAAGATGAGTCTGTCCTGCTACCTGTAACCTTCAAGAGCTGAGGCCAGGGCAGCCCTCAGGACTTTGGGGATGGAAGAGTGAATGATTAGAAGAACCACACCATTCAGGGCATACCTACTGGGCACCTGCCAAAGAAGTCCTGATTCTGGCAGGCAGTTAAAATGCAGGAAAAGGCCCTGGTGGCACAGCGGGTTAAAGCACAGCA